GGGTTAACAGCAGGTGTGGTTGGAAATCCACATTTAACAAACTCTCAAATATTCTGTGGGACATTAAATTTTGAGAAATTCTAGTGAACAGCAGTACTTCCCAAAGTGTATAGACCACTTAGGAATCTTGCTAAAATGTAGATTTGTATTCAGTGGGTCAGAATTTTTTATTTTTGCTAAGACTTTCCATTTTAAAAATAATTTATTTTTGACAGTTTCATAATGAGATCATTGTTTACATCATCCTCCCTCAAACTTCTCCCTCCCCCAACTCCTTCCTTGCCCCCCAACTCCCTTTCAACTTCAAGACCTCTTCCTTGATATCTATCTATCTATCTATCTATCTATCTATCTATCTATCTATCTATCATCTATCTATCTATCTATCTATCATCAATCATCTATCTATCATCTATCGTCTATCATCTATCTATCTATCTATCATCTATCAATCAATCTATCTATCTATCTATCTATCATCTATCATCTATATCTTCTATTATCTATCATCATCTGTTTAACAGTCATCTATTATCTATCATCTATCTATCTATCATCTATCTATCTATCTATCTATCTATCTATCTATCTATCTATCATCTATCTACCTATCATCTTCTATCTAAAATGTATGGAGTCCATTTAGTGGTGCTCATGTGTATATGGGATTATGCCTGACCACTTGGGATTGGATAACCCATCAAGTAGCTAGTCCTTGGATGAAACTGATTCCCTCCCTCAGCAAACAATGATTGCCTGTAGCTCTTCATGTAGAGGTGGGACCTTGTGAAATTTTCCTCATCCACACTGGCATGTCAACTGTTGTAATTATGCAATAGGCTTACTTACTTTTTGTCTAACAAAAATCCTACTACCAGGCAAGAGAAACCTCCCTTTGAGTTGTTGGTCAGGGGAGTCTGAGAGACTACCATAAGAATATAGGTTATTGCTATATCTCTTGATTACTTCCCAAAATTTGAAAGTAAGATCCTATTGCTTGATATACCACACACTTTGGGTATAGGATTTGGAGAATTTGAGCTGGAACTGACCTGGAATCCTCCTCCCTGAAGACTAGCTCTCATAATATAGGAAGATGCTATGGAAGTTGCCAAGAGAGAAAACTAATCAGTAGTCCTACCCAGCTTTAAAGTCTACAGATCACAGCAATGACCAGCCCAGCAAGATTTTGTATTTTTAATGAACTCACAGGAGAAGTTGGGTGCTAGTTTATGGATCATATTTAAGTGGCATGAACTTGGAAGATCTACCCCTATTGGAACAAGTAACCTCTGCTTTGTTCTTATATAATATATTGCACTCCTCAACATCAGAGAGTACTTTTTATAAAGTTCAACGTCTTAGTACTGGTACAAAACTAACTTGATTATTCAAAACCAAATCAGAACGTACTTCCATATCACAAGTAAAGGAGTAGCATCATTTTCTGGTACAAACAGCACCTATGTTTATACATAACATGTGAAAAAGTAATTCACTGCTTTCACTCAAACCTAATTCACTAAGATTGTGTGTGTGTGTGTGTGTGTGTGTGTGTGTGTGTGTGTGTGGTCTCTGTGTGTGTATGCATAATTCTCCATTGTAACCCCACAAGGTAGATATTCATTTTCTACAGATAAGGAAATAGGAACTTAAGTAGTCTGCTGAAGGTCACATAGCCAGTCCCATATTGTGGCTGTGTTCTGTGTTAAACATTTATCACTGTGATTGAGAAAATCAACTTAAAGGAGGAAGGGAAAGCAGGGAGAGGGAACAGAAAAGGGGCCAGATGCATGATACATTCTTTAAAGGCAGACCTCCATTGGCTTACTTTCTCTAATCAAATCTACCACCTTCCAATAGTGCTATCAAATTATGAATCCATCAATAAACTAATCCATGGAGTAGGTTAGAGTCCTCATCATCCAATCAGTTCTCCAAACCCCACCTTTGAAGAACTGAACTGAAGACTATGTTTTCAACAAATGTGCCTTCAGGAGCTATTTCATCACAAGTTCCTATCCTGCTCCAATTTGGATCCAAAGTCTGTGTGTTCTTTGTGCTATTCCATGGTAATAGTTATGATTGTAGTATGAAACATAACTGATTGGGAATCAAGAAAAATAGGAGGAAAAAATTTCAAATCTATCACCCATGGAGTATGAGGCTCCACGGAGGCAGACTGTGGATAGGGACGGCGGAGGGGAGTCAAGTCTCATTAATTGTAATCTACTAAAACATGCAGTTAGTATTTTGACCACAGGTCTCTCATATTTGATGATAAAGATGGACACTAGTGACCAGTGAGCTGATCATAATGTTGTTGCCTCTTCTTAGGCTTCCAGCTGTCAGGCTCAACCAGTGAAAAAACATCCTGGTGGCCTGCTAGCTTCTACCCTCTCCCATAGGAAGTTTCTCCAGCCTTTGAGTTCATGCTCAATACATGGTTTCCTTTACTGGGCTGTGCCACAGTTGCCACACCCTGCCTACCTCTGATAAAGCTGCTTATCCCTAAAAGAATATACTTGTTTCATTAAAGACCTTGAAAATGCAGTCATGTTGAAGATTTTCCATTGGGTAACTAAATTTTAATGTACTTTTCGTAAGCTTAGATATACACAAGCAATAAAGATGCTTAGAGAAAGCAGTCAAACAGACACTCAAATGTATCAAATAGAGGAGAAATGGCTATAAAAATCACCTGCCCAGGCAATTACCAGTCCCTATCTTTAGTGTTCGGTGATGTTGGGTGGAGGATCAAGGGTCAGTTACTTAATCTTAGCTTGCCCAGTTATGGCAAGTAGCACTCTGTAGTTTAGTTTAGTTGCAATGTTTTCTTAAGATTCTTTTTTATTGTTGTTGTTTGTTTTTGTTTTGTTTTGTTTTTTAGGAAGGATTTCCCTGTAGCTCCAGCTACAATATGCAAACCAGCCTGTTCTCAGTCTCACAGAGATCCACCTACCTCTGCCTTCTGAGTGCTGGGATCAAAGGTGTGGGCCACTGCCTTGCCCAGTTTAAAGAATCATTTCTAGTAAGACTATAACTATTGCCCTAAGTAATAAAAAATACAATTAGAAAATAGCATCTGATTAAATTAAGTTATACATTGGGCTAAGAGCAAACACTTATTAGAGCTAAGAATCATAAACTCATTTTGCCCCTATGATACTCTCTACAAAGATGTTTTTTAAAAATAAAAACTGGGGCTGGAGAGATGGCTCAGCGGTTAAGAACACCCACATGGCAACTAACAGTGTGTAACTCCAGGTCCAGGGAGTCTAGTGCCCTCTTCTGACCTCTACAGGCATTGTACAACATGGGTGCACTTATATACATGCAGGCAACACATTCATACACATAAAATTTTAAAAAAATAAATAAAATTAAAAAACAATAAAAATAAAAACTGAAGCCTATAAAAGAAAATCATTGATTTGAAAATTCACTAAGAAGCAATTTTTTAAAAAGTGTGTGGAGGGCCAATGGGATGGCTTGGCAGGTAAATGTGCTGTGGAGCAAGGCTAGCAACCAGAATTGCAGCCCGGGAACCCACATAATGGTGGAAGGTGAGAACCAACTGCGCAAAATCATTATCTAACCACCACATGCAGAACATGGCATATGTGTCCACACACCGTGCATACATATATAGACATAATAAAAAAGAGATAAAAGAAATTTAAAGTGTGTGTGCATGTTGTGTTGTGTTGTGTGTTAAACAGAAGGTATGAAATTGAATCTGGAGAGGGGATTTAATAAGCATTTCCTACTTCCTTCCCCAACTCTAGAACAGTTCAGGTATCAAATCTCAGGCAGAGGACCACGGAAGTCAATTTGAGATTGTTCTGAGGAAACTGCTGAAATAGACAGCGAACATGTTTGCAATTCTTTATCCTTTATAGGACCATAAAGGCCAACAAATGCCCCGTGTCTTTCCTTCTCCTTTCAGCAGCATTCTCAAACCTGCTGGTGATGTCTTTTCCAGGTCCTGGTAATTTTTAGTTACCAAATCTTAGGTACCAAGGCTGCCACTCAGGTTGCCGGACAAATCCCCTTCCTATGATAATATTTCAATGCTATCTATAAACAGAGAACATAGTTCTCTTTTTAAATCTTAATTTTCCCCAAACAGGCAATTAATGCCATTTGCCAACATATGGGTAGGAAACTTTAAAGGCTCCAAAGAGAAGTTGAGAGGCTTCAGGACACTCCAAGCCAAAAGATAATGGTGGAGTTAAGCGGAAAGCTTTCGGGAAAGACAGGCAGAACGACAGGATGTTACTTTTCAGAGGAAACGGGAGCTGTAACAGCCACGGGGCAGGAAAGGCGGAGTCAGCAGCTCAACACCCAAAGAAACGAGCGCGCCAGGGTTTGCAAAACCTGGCATGCTCAGTGACTCTTCCTAGCCCGCGGGGGTAACCTCAGGCCTCCTGGCACCACTCCAGATAAAAAGGTACCCACCTGCTCTCAGCCGCCTCCGCCAAAGACCAGCAAGGGGAGGAAGAGCAAAAGCAAATGTCAGACCCAGTGGCAGGTGAACTTGTCAACAAGTCAGCTCTGAACGCAAGTCCCTGCCCAGAAGGGACCTTCGGGTGCTAGGCCCGCAGCCTCGGGGAAGGAGGCCGGGTGCGGGTGCGGATGCCCGCGGGTATGGGCGCAGGTGCTCTCTGGGCTTCCCTCCCGCTACCCGGGGCTGACAGGCGCTCCCACGGCGCGCATCCTCCACACCTCCGGGCCCCGGGAAGGATCCGCCGGAGGGGAAGGGGCTGGAGAGTTTCCCGCAACCGGATGGGGGCTCGGACTACGTGACCCGCCTGTCACCCACAGCCCGCAGAGGGCAGCGGAGGCAGCCTTGGCTCGCCGCCCCCGACCGCCCAGGCTGCCGGGCGTTTCCCGTTGCAGCACGCAGCCCGCCCCACGCGCCCCCGCCCAGGCCCCGGGAGGGCTGGTACCTCGGAGCCCCGGCCCCCAGAAGCCTCCCGACGGGATCTGAGCGTCCCTCCAGCTCCCTCCGCCGACGTCAGCGTCAGCACTGGCGAGGGAAGGGGCGGGGAGCGCAGGAAGCGGTCCTTCCTGCAGCGGCCGCCGCCAGCCGGAATGGCAGCTCAGAGCCGGTGAGCTCCGCAGCGCAGCGCGGCGGCCCGGAGAGTTCCCCTCCCCTCCTCCGGTGCCCCCGCCTCCCTCCCAGCGAGGACAGCGAGGGCGACCGCTCTCGGCAGGACCCCCGGAATCCGGGTAGGGCAGGGGCGGTCCTCTCACCTTGTTAGGGGCGGATCGGGGGTTGGGGGAGCTAGTGTCTCTCTCTGTACTCCCTGGGGTCTTCCCGTGACCCCCATCTCCTGCGGGTATCCACCGTATGGACATGCCACCCGAGGTGACCCCGCCCCTGCTTTCCTGCAGGTGTTCCACGTGTCCATAGCGTTTGCGTCACAATGACCTAGCTACGGGTGGCCAAGGCTGAGAAGCACCAGGGTTCCCTGAATGTTGTGTGAGGGAGTTCATGTTCCTTCTTTCCACCTTAGAGTCTGGTGGCCTTAATGGACCGCAGATCTCATGAGTTAAGTGCCCCCCAAAGTTAGAGGTCTGCTTCTGGAAACCAAGTTTGGAAATAAAGGAAAAAGTCTGCCTTAAGAAAAAGAGCTGGGTTTATATAGGTAGACGCTTTTCATGGCCAAATACCAGAGCTGTATCTTGAACTCTTTGACACCATGTTTCATCTACTTTTACCCTTTGTCACAAGGAAAGAAGCAAATCCTGCTTTCTGGAGTACCTTTCTATCACAGGAAGAAAGTGTTGGAAAAAGTGCTTCCTGGTATGAATCCCAGGGTCCATCTCTAGTTCTGTGTCTATAAGAAAGTTCCTTGAATGGTCACTGCTGAAGACAGTCCAAGCAGGCTGGAATGAAAGATAGTTATTGAGAAATGATGCAAGCAAGTCAGAAACCCACAGATAATTTGAATGGGGTGCTCCCTGGTGCAAAGCTATGCCTTACAGCAACCCGACATTATAGGTAACATTATCATCCCAATTTTACAGCTGAAGGTACCATTCAGAGTGCTGTAAGGAAGCTGGGTGGGACTGAGACTATGGCTCAGTGGTAAAGAGCCAGGATTAAACCTAGGGTAGTCTGAACCAAGAGACTTCATCTAATCTCAAAACAGAATGGGGGTTAAAAGAGATTATTTTGATTGAAAATGTAACTCAGTGGTAAAGCACTTACCTAGCACACACAGAACCATGGGATTGGCCCCTAGCACCACAAAGCAAATAAAAACAAGATTGTTTTTTAGCAGAACAAAATGCTGTGCTATTCTAATACTGGTTGTACTCAGTAGACGAACTGAAGCATCAAGAAAGGAATACATCACCCCTAAAGCTGCACCAAGAAAGGAATATGACATCCCTAAAGTTCCCCAGGAAAGGAATACATCACCTCTAAAGTTCCCCCAGGAAAAGAATATATCACCTGACTCTCTATTGTTCATCCTACTAGTAGTGTTTTTTGGAATACATCACCTCTAAAGTTCCCCCAGGAAAAGAATATATCACCTGACTATTGTTCATCCTACTAGTAGTGTTTTGTTGTTTTGTTTTTGTTTGTTTTTTTAAATTTTTTTATTTGAGATAAGGTCTCCCTGTAGCCCCAGCTAACCTGGAACTCACTATGTAGACCAGGCTGGACTTGAACTCACAGAGATCTGCCTGCCTCTGCCTCCTGAGTGCTCTACCACACCTGGCACTAGTAATGATTTGGTAGTTACATGGAAACACAAAAACACCATTCATCAAGGGATGGTTTTGAGGCTGATACATTTGTTAGAAGAGAGCCAATAGACCCTCTGGTGCATCGAAAGTGTCCCCCTTAGTACAGATCATTGGAACATAAGTACTGGGGGGAAAGTGAGTGAGAGCCCACTAATGTAATGCCCATTTCCTTTCACCATTTTAAAGGCTAAAGTAGAAACCATGTCTTTAATTCCAGCATCCAGCCTATCACAAAGGCACCTTTAAGTGCCTTCAAAGATAGTGTCTGAAAGTGAAAACCGCCTGGCCATTGTGATAGAAAATTCCCTGAACTCCCAGAGAATTTAAGAGGAAACCTTAAATGATTCTTTCTTTCTTTGACTTTGAGACAGGGATTATAGGATTAATTTACATGCCTGCCTTTAAATGACTTTTCTTCATTCTGCCCTAACACTTAGGATAATATTTGAGGAAAGAAACAATTCCTGCTTATTCTTTCAGCACAGTATGTGTGAAACCCTCCTCTGTGGCCCCCTGCCCTGGACTCCTGAGACCCCTGCCCCTCTTTAGGAATAATGGCTCTTTCTCGCTTCTGTAAACTGCTTGATTGCTAGGCTGAGAGGACAAACTGCACTGACCCCATTTTGACTAGTTGCTTCAGGCAAGCCTGGACCTGTCCAGGCATGTCGTAATCTCCACCTACTACCCCCACCCCAGGAGGCTATAGATCAAGCAGGCCCAGGCATATAGCAGCCTTATAAGGTAAGAACAGAGACTTCTGGCCTCACAGATAACAGCACATTCCATAGCTCTGAGGATAGCACCCACCAATGAAAAACTCCCGGCCTCACAGATAACAGTCAGCACATTCCATAGCTCTGAGGATAGCACCCACCAATGAAAAACTCCTAGGACTGCATCCCTTGTAACCAATCAATTCAAAACTGTGTTGGCACGCGAGCAGGCTCCTTGGACCAATCAAGGTGTAACTCTGTTATTCCCCTCCTGCCTTGGTCTAAAACCTATGAAAGACTTCCTCCCCGTTGGCACGCGAGCAGGCTCCTTGGACCAATCAAGGTGTAACTCTGTTATTCCCCTCCTGCCTTGGTCTAAAACCTATGAAAGGCTTCCTCCCCCTGCAATTAGGGCTCTCAGCAATGGTGCGTTACTAAGGTCTGAGAGCCCGAGCTTAAGCCCGAATAAAGAGTCTTTGTTCTTGCATGCCCTCTGGATTCCGTGGTTATTCTTGGGGGTCCGTTCTCTGGGCACAACATTTGGGGGCTCGTCCGGGATCCCAAAGACCCCCCCCCCACAGGACCCCAGAGTGCTGAGTCTGCCTGATCCGATCGGTGAGTGTCTCTTGTCTTTGTGTCTTTTGTATTTACGCACATCTGATTTTTGGGCCCAGTTTGAGATTGCCTGTTGGAGGTCTAGGTGGACGCACTATAAGGCCCCAGGCTGTGGGACTCGGGAGATGTCCCAGACCCACCTGGTGGGGATTGAATCCCCTTGGTAAATTTGGAAGTACGGAACGGGTCATGCCTGCCAGGAGGCAAGAGGCCATCGCCCTATTTTCAGTTTAAGGCACCAACTAACCATGTGTTGTTTTTCTGTGTGTTTGTGCTTTTTGTTTGTGACTCTTACTGCGTTAGAAGAGATGGGACAGAACCAAGTAACTCCTCTTAGCCTTTTCCAGGATCACTTCTCAGAGTTCAAAGCCCAGGGTGATAGCCTGGGGTTAGGAAAAGAAAAGGAAGCTCTTTATGTTTTGCAGGAATGAATGGCCGACCTTTGGGGCTGGTTGGCCTGAAGAGGGGACATTCGACCTGCCAACCATCTACAGAGTAAAGGATATAATTTATGGCCGTCCAGAACACCCTGATCAGGTCCCTTACATCATGACTTTGCAGATTATGGTGGAGGAGCCTCCAAAATGGTTAAAGCCATTCCTTCCTCCTACCCCCACTGGCCCAAAGCCGACCGTCCTCACCCTGCGTGAGATGAGCGGCAGAGAAATGAAACCAGACCCTCTGCCCTTCTCTACCCTGTCTTGCAAGGAGGCACAGGGGAAGAACTTCTGCTTGAGCCACCCCCCATCAGCCTGTCCCACAAGCAGAGTCTCAGGACACCCCGGGGGAGGCAGAGGCAGCCCCACCCCAGGAGGTGGGAGAACACCCTCCCCAAACACGGAGGAGGGTCCAAAGGGGGCAGCCATGGCTGGTGGCAGACTCTACTGTCCTTCCCCTCCAGGCTGTGGTGCTGCTCACTGAAGCAGAGGACCAACAGATGCAGTATTGGCCATTTGCAACTAGCGACCTCTACAACTGGAAGCTGCAGACAGCTAAATTCCCTGAAAAGCACCAAGGTCTAATTGATTTGCTAGAATCTGTTTTGTTTACCTACCAGCCCACTTGGGATGATATGCAGCAGCTTTTGCAGGTCCTGTTCACCACTAAAGAAAGAGACCGGATCCTGGTTGAAGCCTGCAAGCTGGTCCCTGGGGTGGATGGGAATCCCACCACCAATCAGGCCCTGATAGATGAAGCCTTTCCCCTGGTTAGGCCGAATTGGGACTTCAGAGTGGCTGAAGGTAAGGAGAGGCTCTGGATCTACCGCCAGACTCTAATGGGGGGTTTCCAGGTGGCCGCAAGGCATCCCACCAATCTGGCCAAGATTAGTGGTGTGCAGCAAAGGAGAGCAGAATCACCCGCAGCATTCCTAGAAAGGATCCTTGAGGCGTTCCATACCTATACTCCAATGGACCCAGAAGCACCTGAGAATAAGAATGCAGTGATCCTGGCATTCATGAACCAGTCTGCAACTGATATTAGGCACAAATTGCAGAAATTGGACAGACTGGCAGATAAAACCCTGCCAGAGCTTCTGGAAGTGGCTGAGAAAGTCTACAATCATCAAGAGAGTCCTGAGGACAAGCAGGCCCAGGTCGCCGCCACTGCCAGTGCCAAGCAGACCTGTGACTTTGCTAAGATCCTCCTGGCCACATCGACCAGGTCCCCAGGTGAAAGAGAATGCCAGTTGCAATGCCTATCTGCTGAACACCAGTTGCAATGCCTATCCGCCCAGAAGGGCAACCAAA